TTGGGTGAGTGTGGTTCGGGATTGCACGTTTCTGGTTTCCAATTGGCTGAGCGTGGTTTTGGATTGCTCATTTCTGGCTTTCGTTTGGGTGAGTGTGGTTCGTGATTGCACGTTTCTGGTTTCCATTTGGCTTAGCGTGGTTTAGGATTGCTCATTTCTGGCTTCCGTTTGGGTGAGTGTGGTTTGGGATTGCACGTTTCTGTTTTCCGTTTGGCTCAATATGATATAGGATGGCTCGTTTCGGGTATCTATATGGCTGAGTGTGGTTTAGGGTTGCTCGTTTCTGGTTTCCGGTTGGCAGAGTGTGGTTTAGGATTGCTCGCTTCTGGTTTCCGTTTGGCTCAATATGGGAAAGGATTGCTCGTTTCTGGTTTTTGTTTGGCTGAGCGTGGTTTAGGATTGCTCGTTTCTGGTTCCAGTTTGGCTGAGCGCGGTTTAGGATTGCTCATTTCTGATTTCCGTTTGGGTGAGTGTGGTTTGGGATTGCACGTTTCTGGTTTCCGTTTGACTCAATATGGTATAGGATTGCTCGTTTCGGGTTTCCATTTGGCTGAGCGTGGTTTAGGATTGCTCATTTCTGTTTTCTTTTGGGTGAAAGTTATTCGGGATTGCACGTTTCTGGTTTCCGTTTGGCTCAATATGGTATATGATTGCTTGTTTCGGGTTTCCATTTGGCTGAGCGTGGTTTAAGATTGCTCATTTCTGTTTTTCGTTTGCGTGAGTGTGGTTTGGGATCGCACGTTTCTGGTTTCACTTTGGCTTAATATGGTATAGGATTGCTCGTTTCTGGTTTCCGTTTGACTCAATATGGTATAGGATTGCTCGTTTCGGGTTTCCATTTGGCTGAGCCTGGTTTAGGATTGCTCATTTCTGTTTTCCTTTTGGGTGAAAGTTATTCGGGATTGCACGTTTCTGGTTTCCGTTTGACTCAATATGGTATATGATTGCTTGTTTCGGGTTTCCATTTGGCTGAGCGTGGTTTAGGATTGCTCATTTCTGTTTTTCGTTTGCGTGAGTGTGGTTTGGGATCGCACGTTTCTGGTTTCAATTTGGCTTAATATGGTATAGGATTGCTCGTTTCTGGTTTCCATTTGGCTGATCGTGTCTTAGGATTGCTCTTTTCTGGTTTCCGTTTGAGTGAGTGTGGTTCGGGATTGCAGGTTTCTGGTTTCCGTTTGGTTCAATATGGTATAGGATTGCTCGTTTCGGGTTTCCATTTGGCTGAGTGTGGTATAGGGTTGCTCGTTTCTGGTTTCCGGTTGGCAGAGTGTGGTTTAGGATTGCTCGCTTCTGGTTTCCGTTTGGCTCAAAATGGGAAAGGATTGCTCGTTTTTGGTTTTCGTTTGGCTGAGCGTGGTTTAGGATTGCTCGTTTTTGGTTCCAGTTTGGCTGAGCGCGGTTTAGGATTGCTCATTTCTGGTTTCCGTTTGGGTGAGTGTGGTTTGGGATTGCACGTTTCTGGTTTCCGTTTGACTCAATATGGTATAGGATTGCTCGTTTCGGGTTTCCATTTGGCTGAGCGTGGTTTAGGATTGCTCATTTCTGTTTTCCTTTTGGTAAAAGTTGTTCGGGATTGCACGTTTCTGGTTTCCGTTTGGCTCAATATGGTATATGATTGCTTGTTTCGGGTTTCCATTTGGCTGAGCGTGGTTTAGGATTGCTCATTTCTGTTTTCCGTTTGCGTGAGTGTGGTTTGGGATCGCACGTTTCTGGTTTCCGTTTGGCTCAATATGGTATAGGATTGCTCATTTCTGGTTCCAATTTGGCTGAGCGTGGTTTAGGATTGCTCATTTCTGTTTTCATTTGGGTGAGTGCTGTTCGGGATTGCACGTTTGTGATTTCTGTTAGGCTCAATATGATATAGGATTGCTCGTTTCGGGTTTTCATTTGGCTGATCGTGGCCTAGGATTGCTCTTTTCTGGTTTCCGTTTGAGTGAGTGTGGTTTGGGATTGCAGGTTTCTGGTTTCCGTTTGGCTCAATATGATATAGGATTGCTCATTTCGGGTATCTATTTGGCCGAGTGTGCTTTAGTGTTGCTCGTTTCTGGTTGTCGGTTGGCAGAGTGTGGTTTAGGATTGCTCGCTTCTGGTTTCCGTTTGGCTCAATATGATATAGGATTGCTCGTTTCGGGTATCTATTTGGCTGAGTGTGGCATAGGACTGCTCGTTTCTGGTTTCCATTTGGCTGAACGTGGTTTAGGATTGCTCATTTCTGTAATCCGTTTGGGTGAGTGTGGTTTGGGATTGCACGTTTCTGGTTTCCATTTGGCTTAATATGGTATAGAATTGCTCGTTTCTGGTTTCCATTTGGCTGATCGTGGCTTAGGATTGCTCTTTTCTGGTTTTCGTTTGGGTGAGTGTGGTTTGGGATTGCAGGTTTCTGGTTTCCGTTTGGCTCAATATGGTATAGGATTGCTCGTTTCGGGTTTCCATTTGGCTGAGTGTGGTATAGGGTTGCTCGTTTCTGGTTTCCGGTTGGCAGAGTGTGGCTTAGAATTGCTCGCTTCTGGTTTCCGTTTGGCTCAATATGGTATAGGATTGCTCGTTTCTGGTTTTCGTTTGGCTGAGCGTTGTGTAGGATTGCTCGTTTCTGGTTCCAATTTGGCTGAGCGTGGTTTAGGATTGCTCATTTCTGTTTTCCGTGGCTGAGCGTGGTTTACGGTTGCTCGTTTCTGGTTTCCGTTTGGCTCAGTATGGTTTAGGATTGCTCGTTTCTGGTTTTCATTTGGAAGAGTGTGTTTCAGGACCCCCTCCTAAATCTGCATCTGATTCCCGGATCTTGAAGTGTTCAACTGTTTTTGAAAAACTGATTGCGATAGCTTGAAATTATTATTGGCTGAAAAATACTAATTGATTAGTTTATTTACGCAATGGTACACATGTGATTTGAATTAACCGGACAAAACGAACAAAATTTGATATTTCAAACGCGTTTTTATCCAATAGGGCCAAGATTAAACAAAAATGAAGTGAATAAAAGTTGATTAAAATTTCACCAGAAATAAGATGCTGCAATTCAAAATTCTCAAACAAAATTTAACTCCGAAATATTTGAGTAATTGTCTATTTGCAGGACGGTTAATGGCGTGAACTAGAGTACTCGTGTTAGTCTTAAATGCTAATCAACTGAAGATCAAAATCGTTTGGAAGATTGGTTGAATGCAAATAAATTGAATTTAAGTGAAGATAAATATGTAAAAAAGACTACCTCAATTTAAAAGCAGTGCACATTTAAAAACTGTTTTCCTTTTCATTTTAGATTTAATCGTTCAAGCTTTTACACCAAGCCTTACAACAGACTTTTTTAGGCAAAAAGTCGAATCAGCTACTGGAAAACCTGTAAAAATAATTCAATAGCTCCACTAGGTCTAATTTATTTTTAGTTTTACCAATTAGAAAAAAAAACTTATCTATGGATTTTTCTTCTGCCCTTAAAAGTTGATGGAGAAGTTTTCAGTGGTAAAATTGACGAAACAATTAAAAAAAACGAACAAAAAATCTTAAATTCCCCTCACACCCTTGAAACGTTTAACATGATATGCTCTGTGTCTGTTAACAATTTATTAAAACTCATTTAATCTCCTCAATTTTATTTGGATGCAGATGTTATACAGTGCTGATTGAAATTACGAACAAAATTTGAAATTTCAAAGACCTTTTTCTAAAATTGGGTTAGTTTAGACAAAAAGTGAATAGAACAAAAGTTGCTTAGATTTTCACCAGAATTAATGCGCTGCAGTTTTTTTTGTCGAGATTCTCAACCTCAAAATAAGCCATTATGGTTTTTTTAATTCATCAAGAATTAGGCAAGAAGATTGGAACTACATTGTTGAAAGGAAAAATGAGAAAACTATATCACAAGAAGCCTCGTACACATCCCAACAAGTTTCTAGAGAACTAAGATCTCCAAAAAAGTTGTTTTAATTTTGTTCTAAGCAGAGATTTTGGGGTTTATATAGTAAAAATCACATTGAGTATCAAGCAACAATGTTTTCTTTTTTACAGCTTTTTGGATATTCAACCCTTCTAGAACTTTGTTTGGAGCAGTAAGAGGCTTCTTGTGACATAATTTTCTCATCTATTAACAAAAAAGTTTCAGCGTAATTCTTGATTAATTGAAAAAAGATTTTTTAGGTAAAACTTTGTTTGAGAATTTCTGAGAAAAAATTGCAGCATTTTAATTCTGATAAAATTCTAGGCAACTTTTGTTAACTTCACTTTTCGTCTAATTTGATCCAAATTGAGAAAATTTGTTCAAAAGTTTAAGTTTTGTTAATTTTGTCCGGATAATATAAATCACCACTGTATCAGTTTGTCAACAATATTTTTGTTTCTGCTACTGAAGAAAAAGACGGAGTCTTTGTTCTCGTGTTGCTTTTCTAGAGCAGTCTTAATTCGTTTGTGCTAATTACTTATTTGCTAATGTTACCGTCGCCATAGCTTAAGAGTTAGCGTCGGTTGAATTGGTCAAGTTCAGATTCCTCAAAATATTCAGTAGTTGCTTATTTATTTCACTCTTTATGTCTTCATTCACTCTTGTTTTCTCACTTCAATTTTTGGCCGAAATTGAAAAGCTTTGAAAAGTACTTATAAAAAGCATCTTTACTTTCAACTTTTAGAGGCAACGTAGCGTCTGCTTTATAAAATCTTTCAAAACTTGTTTCAAAGTATTTGTCGTCCAGAAACTCAGAACGGATTTCTTTGAGACTTATTTGAGCTCCTGAAGAGCATGAAAAAACAAAAATGAAGTGTTTTAAAACCAGTTTTATTTTATTTGAAGTTATAAGTTGTGTTAACAAATACTATGAACAATGAAGCTATGATTTCAAATGTTAAAGCCATCTTTGCAGAAAATGTTTACTGTTTTTTCTCTCATTTGCTTGTGTCAACAGAATATAAAAGTCATATCAAAACTAATCGGCAAAAAAAAACAGAAAACAAAAATAGAATTACGTTACCCACAATTACAGTTTTGTAAAAAATATATTTATCAAATTTTCTGGATTGCTGAGTTCAGACAACGTACGTTTTAGTAAACTAGCATAATCTTTTCATTACTTTGTCTTACAGTTACGGGAGCTTAAACTACGACTTTAGCCGAGACAAAACTTCATAATGCCAAAGAACAAATCAAAGGCAAAAAATAGAAAGAGAGCGGGGGCGGCGGTGAGTCCAAACTTTGTTTCAGAACATTATCTCGACAACGCCAATAATTGAACTTATCTCGAAAAACCACATCAGTAGCTTTTTGTGCTAAGCATGGAGTCATTTTTGAACCACCAAGTTCATTACGAGGCCAAACTGTGTATATTGTGAACTATAACCGAATTTCACAAAAATGCTACTGTTCTTTGATGTTATTTGCTGTATAGATATTGCTGGAATTTGATGTGGTGCAGCTCCGGACCCGCAACAATTTGTAGTTTTCCGCCAATTGTTGTAAATTGTTTTCCAAATTTCTGCGAGCTGCTGTCCAGTTTTTTTTTGTCTAAACGTTGTGTTTGTTGTTCGAACTTGCTTTTGGGTGTGGTGCGTGTGTTCCTTGTCTTTTGTCCTGATGTGTTGTCCTGACGTGTAATTGATGGCTTCCGTTTTTTAGTAATTTTAGTATTTTGCGTCGTTGTTCATTGAGGTCGAGCTCTTCTCGAAATTTGAATGTTTCCAAAAGTTTTTTTGATGTTTCCAAATGCATTTGAGTGCTAAATTCGTAATCCTGATTTTTTTTATGTAAGCAACTAATGTAAAAGAGTGCCAAACGAGATTTTTGTCTACGTGTCGAATGTTGTCGAAATCCTTCCTAAAAGTAATGCTGTAGGGGTTGTCTACAGTGGGTTTACAGTTGTTTTTTTGTTCTTCTGTTGGGCTAAAAATTGTTATTTTGTCTGCGTACATATGAGGCGTTAAAATTTTTTGTTTTCAGTTGGTGTTGAGAATTGTCGTTGATTTGAAACACTTTTGTTGGCTAAAACTCGGGTCGTTTTCTTCTGCTGAGAATGGTTATTGCTGACACTGGCGTTGAAGCTTTTATTGAATGGTGAAATCCTTGTTCTGGGTTGCTGCTGAATGAATCAAGGTTTGGCTGGGGCTTTTGATTTTTTTGTGGGATGATGTACAATGTCGTCAGTGCTGGTCTTTGTACCGAGGAAATCACTATGTATCCTTATTTCGGTCCAAGCTGGAGTTGTTTCTCTCTGCTGATGTTGGGTTTTTATTTATCTCTGATGTTCAGTTGAATTTGAGCGTCCTGATAATCTGTGAGTTGTTCCGTGTTTACTAGATTTTCTCTATTGGCTGTCGTTGATAGTTTGAGTTAAGCGGATTCCGCTTCAATTTGCGAATTCCGCTTACAAGAAGCGGATTCCGCCTACAATTTACAGATTCCACTTACAGTTGCAGATTCTGTGACAGCTTAAGTTTACGAAGGGCATATATTATTATTTGTTCATGGGATCCGCAAGCTGGTTTCGGATTCCATAGATATTTTGTGTGCGGATTGTGCAAAGTTGCCTGTTTGTGGAGCGATTTTGAGCAACACAGTGTTTTAGCTATTTGTCCATGGAATCCAAAACAGTAGAGAAGATCAAAGAAAAATAGCAATGTCGGGGATTCCGCGACAAATCTGATTTTTGCCCATTGCTAAATCCGCTGACAGTTCACAAAATGCACAGATTGGCCTCGTAAGGTCTTTTGTTTAGTTTTATTTTTGCCTTTAAATCAATAGTTTATCGTTCTGTTAGCAACGCATTGTTTTTTTTTTTAAATTTGATAACCGTTTTTTTTTCCAGGGATGCGGATCCTCCAATCAGCAACAGTTACCAGAAAACACTACACTTGAAAGACAGTTTGCCGGAACTTCAAACCAGGTACTTCGAGTAGTCCAATTTTCATCTTTCCGAAATATAATTTGAAATTTGTTAGCTCTAAAAATGGGGAAAAATTGTTTGCATCTCAATGGTCTCTAAATAGAACATTAGAACATTACATTAGAGTTTTATACCAATTCAATTTCAAAGTTGTACACCTCTTAAACGTTATCGACATTTTCTTCATTTCTGTTTAGTTATTAGGTTTGTTTTTTTTAACCAATACCTTACTGATTTTTCAGCTTTTGTTTGGTATGCAAAAAATTGATGAAGATACAAATGTACCATATTTTTGATAAAAACAGGACACATGGGCTCTAAATTGAAATTTAAAAATTTTTTATTTTGAATATTTTTTGTTGGGAGGGGTAGTGGACTGAAGCAATTTTTTTCCCACATAATTAGACCAATCGACTATTTCATTGAAATTGTCTTAAGTATCAAAGGTTTTCCATAAAGTTTATGAATGTTGATTTGTCAATTTGTTATTTTTGTCCTCTTATCACCTACAAGACATTAGGTTGGCAACAGAACCCCACATATGTGAGTTTTTGTTATCAGGGATGCGGATCTTCCAGTCAGCAACAGTTCCCAGAAAACTTTCGAAATGAAACACAGATTACAGGAACTTCAACTCAGGTACTCCAATTAGATCAAATTGTCATGTTTCGATTGTATAAATTGTAATGTTGAAATTATATTAAAGAGAATTAGCAATTGAAACTGAACATCTTTAGTTGCGTATAATCATTTTTTGTTAGATTTTTATTAGTTTTTATTTTTGTTTTCGATCAATCAATAAAATGCCAATTTTTCAGGTTTGGTTTGATATACAAAAAAACTAAATGTAAAAAAGACGTACCATATGCCTGGTAAAAATTTGTTCCCATTTAGTGTTATTAAATTACAATTATAAAAGCATCCACCTCCATAGAAAGAAACAACTGTTCTTATTTTGATCAGCTTAGTTTTTTTAACAAGATCAAATTTTTGATTAATGAGGTCGTTTTTTTCTAAATGTTTCAGTTCTTTTTTCATTAAAACCTTGTGCTGTTAATAGAAAAGAGAAAACAATGTTTTGTATTTAGGGATACAGATCATCCAGTCAGCAACAGTTACCAGGAAGCAACCAAAATGATAACAAGCCACAGGAAACGTCAAATCAGGTGATCCAAGTAGTCCAGTTTTTTAATCTCTCTGCAGAATAAATTTGTATAACCACACTAGCCAACATAGCCAAGCTAATTGATTATTGTATCTTCCATAGAAAACATTTTAAGCCGTTTGATATTTACTGACATTAAAAAGGTTATTTGCAGCAGGCCTAATCTTATAACTGTCGCAAAAATAAAATAAGTAAATACTTAAAAATCTTCTTCTGAATCACTCTGTTTTTCCTTTTTTGTTCGGATCTTTTTTTTCCAAAGCCAGCAAAATCATGCAATCAAACAGAAAAACCGAGCTTGAAAAAAAAGCTCCATAATTAAAAGCTCCATTAAAGTATCGAGATTGCTCTTGTCAGGACAAAGCCAAAATGCTCCTATTGCGCTTTAAGGTCTATAGAGTAAAAATTTACTTTGCAAAATTGAAATATAACTAACAATTAACCCCCCCCCCCCCCCTCCTTACAAAAGGGAGATAATTGTTTAGAAGATTAAGTTAGTTGACTTTTCAACCAATCAGAAGGCAATAAAAATTGATTTATAAAAACAAAGCTCTAGTGCTAAATCACTGCTTTGTTTTGGAGTCGTACGTTTTTAGTAGGAACCATAAATGACTGATGTTAGAGGTTATATGGATCCAAAAACTGGATGAAAATTCCAAAGAAATCAGTTTTTAGTTTTTTTTTAAAAATCAACCCTCACTCGCTATGTTAAGTACAAAATGATAAATATTTAATGCGCGAAACCTTTTGCGAGTTATTTGTTCTAAGTTTGCCGTAATGGCAACCTTCAAGCCACATAACTCTACAAAAAATGATCACCAGTAAAAAATATTTTTAACTTTGAGCTCAAGACAATAATGGCTTTGCAAAGAATTAAAAAAATGCTTTCAAAACTTGTTAATTAGAAATTACTAATTCTAGAAAGTATTAGAAAGTACTAAGTCTGGAGAAAAAACCCAAATGTTATATCCTTTCTTTGAAGGTCGGAAGAAAAAGAAAAAAGGGTGAGTGTTTCAAATTCTTGGTTCAGCTTTGAATATAAGACATGAAGTTGAGATTAAAATCAGGGTTTGCTCAAGCAAAGCAATTTTTTTTAGTTTTTTGAAATCTGTTAGTTTTCCTATAGTAACAAACTTTCATCAGCAGGAAAAAGTTTTTGTGTCATAACTCAAAGAAATAATAGTCAACGCTTTAATTATCTCGACAATGAAAAAAATCAGGCTTGTGGTTTTGAAACTATGTGGTACTTCAAAAAGTGCTGTAAAAATTCCTTGAATCGAATGGCTGCAATGGAAACCGAAATACGTAGTTTTTGGTTTTGCAAAATTGCAATTAATTCTCTTTAAAATTTATCCGTCGGTCGAGATAACTGAAATTCTTAGAATATCATTTGCGTGAACTAATTTTTTGAAAATCCTATTTTCATGAGAAAAAAGTTGGACAACAAGCGTGAGGCAGCCAACGGGCGACACACACGTGCCAGTTACTGCTCGCACTAGAATTTATAGATTATAATCGATTATATTGGACTTTCCTTGTCAGTCTCTATAAATTTCAAAAATAATTGATTATAATTGATTAAAAATGGATTAAAAGTGTAATTTCTGTCAAATCAAAAAACTTCATTTTAATATATTACGATCAATTTTATTGCATTATAATATTTTTTTGTTTTTTTTTATGACAACTTCAAGCACAGTGCAATATATTCTTCACTTAACAGTTGCTTCTGGTTTGATAGATGTTTTCTCATAGACTCTCAAAGATTTTTCAGTATGTCATTTTTTGCTGATAATTAAGTTATGTTACTTGTCGTCCCTCCAGCTTACAGATCCTCGTTTACACCTCCGTATCCCCCTCCTCCTCTCAGCTCATACGCCTCCTCGTTTATATCCCCCATTTATACCCGCCCCACCAGTGTTCACCCCCTCTTTTCCTCATTTAGGGGAGGGGACGACATTGGGGGTATGACGGGGTGTGAGAGCGCGCGGAGGGATCGGTGTGAAAATTAAGGGGGAGGCTGATGTGAGCGTGGTGGTTATATATTTGGTAAATGTGGCAAAGATGAGGGCGTTAAGCTGGGGGGGGGGGGTTTGTTGGGTGAACCTGAGAACGAATAGGAGAGGGGTAGGGTTAAAAGTGCCTTTTATATAAAAAATGGTTTGGTTCAAATTTCAAAGAGGTCGTGAGTATGGCAGAAATTGTTAAAATTTTGCAGCTAATAACCGATAATGACAAAATAACTGATTTTATAGTCAAAAATTGCAGCAATAATGGGTTGTAATGACAACATTTTACGCAACATTTTAAAAATTTTAATCAATTTTTTCCGTCAAACTCTTTTGCGGGAAGGGACAACATCTCATCTGCTTCAGACGTGACGAGAATGACAAGCGAAGTTTTTAATGCTATCAATCTTACCTAGAACAAGCTCTGTAACTAAAAGCAAAACATTTCTGAGTGTACAACGGATTTTAAAGTAGGTTTTTAAGATTCTTTACAAAATCAAAATTAAGTTAGGAAATATCAGCGCCCTCAGGTTGTTTAAAAATGAAGGCACCATTTTTTGGGTCCGGTGCAAACATCCGATATGTCAAACATTCGCTATGACAAATATATTAGTTATATATAATAATTGCCTGATAACATGACGTAAGAATTTCTAAAGAAAGACTTGGTTCAATTATCCGATTCCAATTTAGCCGACTCTCGATTTAAGATATCCGGTGGGCGCGCTACACGCGCGTCGCCACGTGACCGCGATAACCGGCTCTAATTTTCATATAGAGTCCAACCATCTGTTGGCAAGCTCGCAACTCGTTTGCGTGACCGCTGCAATCCGCCTTCAATCGACCAGTATAGCATCTGTTAAACGAACGGTAGAAATCGAATCTTTGCCCTACTTATTGAAAAAACATCGGATGTTTGCCCTAGTAAAGCTGGTTTTCGGATGTTTGACATATCGGATGTCTGCGCGGTACTCCCATTTTTTGTAGTCGCTCAATATATTACATTTTAACACATATAGACAATTTACCACAGGTAAGAAAAACTCGCTTTCTGAGACCTGAATGCACTGGATAATTCGTTCGCGAATGAATTACATTTTCCAGGACTGAGGTCATTACATGGATCAATTGAGCCCCAAACCGCCAATGCGGGAATGGGAGGAGGACATTGTTCAATTGGTCCCATTACTTCATGGTTAGCTTAGTAAACTGATCAAAGGCAAACCAATAACAGATTTTGAGACCACTTTCATCAATAGTGCTCATATAAAACGGGGAAAGGTTTTTGAGAAGATTTCCCACGTAGTACCTACGCAAGCTTCAAAAAATTTCAGTTATTTTAAAATACCCCAAACCTTTGTCCATTCACTGATGCGTGAATTATTTTTAATCAGACCAAAATCAAGCTGACTTTCATTTCAAACTTATGCAATCTGTTATGCTGTCTGACCTTTCCTGCTCGTGGTGTCGATTTATTGGTGCTAATAAGCTCCTTTTCAAAACATCGCTCCTCATTCAACTGAATGGCTCCGAATCAACTGCCTGGTCGTATTTATTCTAATCATGATAGGTTTTAATCATAATTACCTCTTTTTTTTCGACTGTTTTTCTTCAAAATGAGCGGTGCGGATCCTTTTGTAATCAATGAGTTTATTGCTCTTACAAATATATAGCATATGTTTTTGCCTTCAGGGATGCGGATCCTCCAGTCGAAAACAGCCGCCAGAAAACACACAAATTGAAAGCCAGCTCTCAGGAACTTTCTGGAAGGAAATAACAGAGACCCTCAAAGTAGTCCCCAGCTTTCCTTCAGAGCTAGAACAGTTTAATCCACTCACAAAATGCACACAAGGGCACCCAAAACTCGTTTCTCAATTTCTTCTATCTGGCCTGAAAGGGCTTCTGATAAGAGGGCAAGAGGTTGCCTCTACTAAAGCTGACACATCGGAAAAAGTGCACCATGGGTGTGTGTTTCTGCCAGCCCCTGCTTTCGACAAGGTCATTCTATTGAAAAGCATTTCTGATATACACAGATTCGATGATGCAAAAAGAAAGCAGGTGTGTCCTCTAAAAACCAAGCGGATCATTGACGCGCTTATCGATCAGGCTGGGGAGCTAAGGCAACTTATGGGACCAGAACACGAGGTCAGTGACATCGATTTAGCATACCGTTTCTCTATTTTTTTCTTTGGCAAAACATCTTATCATTCTAGTTTCTCAACAGGCAGATCTAGGATTTTCACTGCAAAACTTTCCGAGAAAGTTGTTTACTCATTCAACAAGTTGAAACAGTATATGTTGTAAGAAACGTAGCTGGTTTGAAACACGTAGCGCTGAGACTTTTCCAACACTGAAGCTTCCGCGCAAAGCACGTTCATCTTAAGGGAAACATAAACATTACGTGTAATTAGTATACTCTTGGTGAGATTAGAATTTCCAGTGAGTCCGGGGCGTATTTATAAATTAAAGTTTATCATTTTGGACGGAGGCGGATTTTGAGCGATGGGTTCGCCCTCAGGGATTCGACATCCAGCCGTCCCAAAGGGTCCCCCCTTTGTACTGTTCTAAAATAACCATTTTTTGTGACGGATCCTAAAACTTTTCCGAAGGCACCTTCGGCGCCATTATAAACTATCTTTTTAGTGCTTTGGGAGATCTCGTAAACCAATTTGGTCTACCAAAAAAAGGCCGACAAAGTTTCCGAAAATTATTTGCAAACCCACCCCGCAGCAAAATTTCTAGATTGGCCCTGCTTTTGCAAACAGTGAAAAATCTCTCATGAATCAAAACTTTTCTTTTCCCCCACTTTACATCAATTTTATGGTCTAAGGAGTGGTTTTACAAGGTTGATTATGAAGACAAATATGTTTGTCAAGGCTTAATTAGTTCATGACAATGGGACTATGTGAAGAGTTATTTTAATTATTAAAAATTGCAGGAGGGGAAGGAAAAAGAGCCAAAATCAGCTTCAAAAGGTTGTACTTTGAAATTTAATTTAACCGATAGAAGATTCATAAAAGTAGAGAAAGTTTAGCAAAAACTGTGTATGAAATTGTCTTAGTCAAATCCTGAAAAAAAATCGCTCAAAACAGTAAATGTGGCTCAGGCGAATACAATTGTTATAATTCCTTAATTAATCTACTGAACTTCAACTGAATTTTAGATATGCGTTGCGGTGTATCTGAATTTATTTGGTTAGGGGTTTAGTGAAGGTTTAGGGAGGGGATTTGTTTTTTGGGTCCGTTCACACACGCTAACTTAACAGTGCCGCAAATTGGTCCTTCGAGCAATGAACTCAGCATCGCGACCGAGATTCATGACTATCACGAAAAGGCTTTTTTGGTCGCAAGTTTTTTATGTTCTGTATTATGCCAATTACCACCCTTTCATTGCTGCTATCAGGGCTGTCTCGTCCGCTCCATGTGTTCGTAAAATTGTTTAAAAGTATTCAAATTCAGATAAAATAGGTCCAAATACAAAAGGCTCTGAGAGGCTAGAATTTGATATAAAAACCTAATCAAAGGAGAGGGTCCGCATTTTCTCAGCACAAAATGCGGACCCTCTAAACTTGAATCAAAATAATTCAACTAAATAATTTTCCCTCTCTAAAGAGCCCTAACTAACAGATTACCCTCAGTAATCCTCCACAACTACTCAGTTCATTCTAGTAAATATTTGAATCACTATTCTTTTGATGTACTTTAATTGATCTCGCTAACTTCAGGAATCATTGATGTCAACTGTGATGAGAACCAATTATTTTTTGATTTCGCAACCTCTCGTGTCTTTAAGGGTGCTATATTTTGTTATGTTTACGATTTGAGTTTTTCATTGTTAGGGTTATGATCATCCCTAGAAGGCCTGACATGTACTCTGGTACCCCTTACTAAAGGTCTAATAGAGTTCTTCCATTGACGACACTAGTCCAGACATCCAAAATCACCATAGTTATCTCCATCTAAGTTGTACAAGTATCAAGTTCAATTCCATTTATAAACCTTGTTATGTTTGTTTTACAAATATCTGAAGATTTTTTTGTGTCCGTATATGTTCCGACCTCCCGCGGGTAGGGGAAAGCCTAATGATTTTCAGGTTCTGCTTCATTTCTCACTAGGTAAGTTCTCTGACTACTATTAATCAGGTGACTGATTCCATTTTTAGCAAGTTCGGCCGGGGAATGCACCTTTTGTTTGTTTTTCTGTTGATCCTGGCGTTTTTGTGCAATTTTGGTCATAACAAATAAAAGTCATTTAAAGGTCATTTTGGGTCATACGGGGTCAATTTTCATTTCCGGGCTAAGAATTGCATAGGGGCACTACATACCAAGTTACTTCTATATACATTAGGACTTTACCAGGTATCCCATTTCTACGGTCATTTTATCTTTTACCGGGAAAGGTTTTTGAAACCAGAAGGAGCCAACGGTAGGGTACTTACTCTCGAGCGTGTTTCTTTTGGGGTTCAAATGATGTCTATCGCCGTCGCAAAATCAAAATACCTTCGCTCAATATTTTGTACTGTGGGCAGGGAAACTATTTTTTCCCGAATCAAAAAACATGGGGGTTTGGTGCTTTTTTTCAGATCACCGGGATTGAAATCTTCCAATAAAGCGACGTCGTAAAATTGCCCGATGGGCGCTTTATACATGAGTCGCGTTTGAACTTTTGAATTCTAGGTCATTTTCATCTCTGTGGTCCGTGACTTTTTTGTTACATCCGTTCGGAAAGGTTGATTGGTTTGATTTTATCTTATTTTACCCTCGCGTTAACTCCCCGATTGCTTTCTGAAGGCTGGGCTGGTTCAACTTCATAATTTTTTTCTTCATTCGGCTTTTATATTTGCTGCTATATATACCTGCTGATTGTATCGCTGATCTCGTTAGCCTATTTGCCATCATTGACCAATCATAACTTAAAATTTGACTGAAAACGATGTTCTTTGCTGACCAATCCATCACCAGATTAATGCGCATCATGCTATCACTACTAACAGCAGCTCGAAAGATAAGCTGAAAGCCCTTGAATATTTTAAACTTCTCCCTGCCTTTGAACACTAGCGAAGTACCTTAAACTATTTCTTCCTCCAAGGTAAGGCGAAGTCAAATTTTTTATTTTAACCTTTTTTCTATTTTAGCTGTTTTATTTTAATCTTTTTTTACTTTAAATTATTCGCTCGACAGATCTTACTACCCACATACAGCTTATTGCAGTGGTTCAATTTGGACATTGTTTTCTTGTTTTCTTGTTTAATCGTTTCGGTGATTACCGCCAGCTTAAGCTGGTTAGTCTTTACTCTTCCTCCCTATTTTCCGTATCCTCAGGGACTGCATAATCAATTTCCTCAGAAACCATTGTCAATCTTACCGAGGCAGCCTCAGTTGTGACAATCTTGTTTGTTCCGGCGGGATCGGGTGTCCCGCGATAGCTGCCGCCGGAAGCTAAAGATTAAGAGGCGGAGGCTCGTCAAAACCTGCTCAATTTGATTTTTTTATGTAACCTTCATAATTGTTGATCAAATTTAAAGCAATTATTTTTCTATTTATTGCTATTAGTGGTTATACATCTTCCCGTGAGGAACTTTTTTGTTTGGCCGGACTCGGTGTCTTGTGACATCCGCATCACTACTCACGCAGCCTAAGCTTAAGCCTATAACAATTACTTACAGTAATAGTTCTACGCCGCTCAGGAAACAGTACATCTTAACCTAGTTAGTAGTTGACCACTCCACACTTTTCGGTTACTCTTAACAAAAAACCTTTTTACCGGTTAGATCGCGTTTTCTACAGTCAGTTACTCTACACAAAATTATTGGGTCGGGATAAGAGCGCCAATGGATAGGAATGGGGACATGACTGCTTCAGAAAATTAATGAAAGTGGCACGAGTCAATCTCTCAGTCAACTAAGATAAAACTAGAGCAAAGTCTGGCCTTCGAGTCCCCGAAATGGGATTGCACCTTTTCACAAAATTAATCTCATCAACATTAAATTACACTTAAAACACTGCAGGCCGGACCTACCCCTCCTTCCCTACTCACACGCTCCGTTGTCCTTCACTGAAGTTTTACTCCCAATCCGGAATTCAGGTCACTGTTCCACTTTATGCGGACAAAGTTCACGTCCTTTTCTTCGGTGATCATCCAAGTACTCGTATCCCTAAACAACAGAATTTCTGGGATCTTCGAAAGCAGACAGATTTGAGCGGCGAAGGAATCGTCTCCAGTCGATCTTTGGGTGTAAATAGCTGTCCTCGTTCATCATCCTCAGCCCGCACAAATTGTAGTCGTCCGGCGCGTCTCAGCCTCGTCATCTGAAATTGTTTCTAAGGTGCCCCTCCATTCTTGTAACATATTTTCAGTGGACATAATTTGGACCGATAAGCTACTAAAACGCTCAGTATGATAACCACATCCTTACAGAGGTCCCCTGCGCATCCCTTGCCAGTGAAAAGGTGTATGTTTTCTCAGTATCTGATCCAACAGGTTTTGGCGATCTTCGCTAGGGCACCTTCGCCGACTGGCCCTCCAAGTAGCTGAATGAGGTTAAGACGGAGTACTTTCACCATCTGACTCCGTATTATCACACCCGGTAAGATTCTTTTCGTTTCGTTTAAAGTGGCGAACAAGGTTCGGATGAGCGGGAGCTGCTTGATGGCCATGGTTAGCCCCGTCTCGTAATGACAGGTCCTCGGAGCAGGCTGGAATACTAGAGCACTATCCGGTGTCTCAATACGTCCTTCACACAGTTTGGTCGTAGCAAGCAGCTTCGACAGCCCACTATCGGTTCGCCGCTCTGTTTTGCTCATCTACTGTAATTAAACATCTTATGGTCACTGTCCCATGAAATTATCAGTTTAATTCAGTTCTACAGAAAAAAGCCGAAGAGGTCTCGCGTAGCGCAATGACCTCCTGAGTGCAGACTTTCAGTTCTCTCGTGGGCAAGTTGAAGAACAAGCTGGCCAGGCATGACAACTCAGTAGTCCGTGAAATTGCAAATGGTCGAAAGCATAACTCAAGGCGGCTGCTTCCGCTATAATGCGCCGCGAGGACATCACGTGACACCTCGGCTAACTAAGCTCGTCGCTCAAAGACCAAAAAAACAGTGTTCGCAAACTTGTGCTGCGCTGCCGCCGATACCTTTTCCGCGGT